AAAATTAAACACAGACACACAGAAATAAGAGTCCAAAAACTAAGAAAGTGGCCAACTTAATCATAGGGACAAGTCTGGAGTTGAATATTATATCCCAGAATTTAATCAGGAAAATTAAGCCAGAACAGAAGATAAAGTACATGAGACTGGTAGGTTCATGCACCTACCATTTGAACAGAATCCTAACCTGTTTCCTGTTTTTAAGCAAAGTTCCTTGGCATTTCTTTGATTTAAGTTAAAAAAACTGGTTTTCTTAATAGTACCAAGTGAACTTGCCACTGAAAGTAGTTAGACTATTTTAAAAAATTGTGTGATCAATACAATGTAGGGGGGAAAGAAATGGAAGACAACTATAGACACCAGAGATAGGGTGAGAAGAGGTTGGGAAAGGACAGAGGGTCAGAAAGAGGAGTGAAAAAAAATTCTAGGAACTAGAAATGGAAAATTTTTTATAATAATATGCATGATTAAGTCACTATGCAGTATATTCTGGATGGGAAATCATTTTGTATGTTGTAATGATGCTTAACAAAAAAAAAGTTTCAGAAAAAAATAATCTATTCAATGACTGCAGTAAGATATATAGCTCCAGCTAGGTGCTACTTTATAGGATGCCTAAAGTTAGACTTGTGTTCATGGAAATGTATATATCAGCTGTGTTTGCTATGAAAATATTTAAATTAATTAAGATCTTCAGTAATTCAATAAAATGTGGGGAGGAAACAGTATAGAAAGTAAACATGGATACCAGAGACAGTGTGGGAAGAGAGAGGGAAATGGCAGAGGGTAAGAGATAGGGAATCAAGGATGGGGGGAAGAAAAAAAGCAAAACATACAGGAAACAAGAAATGGAAAATTATTTGTTGACAATAACATGTTTGTTGATGTGCTTGATTGAGACAATATACAGTGTACTCTGGATGGAAAATCTCATTTTGTATGCTGTAATGATGTACAGTGAATGAATGTAAATAAATACATTTAAATTAAAAAACTGGATATCATGTCTCTTATCTTGTATCAGTCTCAAACATCCCTTTTAAGCCCAATCAGATTCCAAATCTTAAGAAAGTCCCAAATAGATTCTACTCTTTGTTCAGAAACATGTGCTACAGGTAAAACTCATTTTACATTAATATTT